TCAAGCCCAGAATAAAAAACAAATTATTTTAATCACATTCTGTGTGTAAGACGACCACCAATTTTGAGTCTGAAAGATTTGGGGAAGCATTCTGTCTTGTTCAGGGAAAAAACATTTGCTAAGTACTTCATATTGAATCATTCAGTCCAAAAGTGATCAGATCCCCTCCCTAGTGTGTAGCAGTTGAGGGAAAAAACATTTGCTAAGTACTTCATATTGAATCATTCAGTCCAAAAGTGATCAGATCCCCTCCCTAGTGTGTAGCAGTTCAGGGAAAAAACATTTGCTAAGTACTTCATATTGAATCATTCAGTCCAAAAGTGATCAGATCCCCTCCCTAGTGTGTAGCAGTTCAGGGAAAAAACATTTGCTAAGTACTTTACATTGCACATTGAATCATTCAGTCCAAAAGTGGTCAGATCCCCTCCCTAGTGTGTAGCAGTTCAGGGAAAAAACATTTGCTAAGTACTTTACATTGCACATTGAATCATTCAGTCCAAAAGTGATCAGATCCCCTCCCTAGTGTGTAGCAGTTCAGGGAAAAAACATTTGCTAAGTACTTCACATTGAATCATTCAGTCCAAAAGTGATCAGATCCCCTCCCTAGTGTGTAGCAGTTGAGGGAAAAAACATTTGCTAAGTACTTCACATTGAATCATTCAGTCCAAAAGTGATCAGATCCCCTCCCTAGTGTGTAGCAGTTGAGGGAAAAAACATTTGCTAAGTACTTCACATTGAATCATTCAGTCCAAAAGTGATCAGATCCCCTCCCTAGTGTGTAGCAGTTGAGGGAAAAAAACATTTGCTAAGTACTTCATATTGAATCATTCAGTCCAAAAGTGATCAGATCCCCTCCCTAGTGTGTAGCAGTTGAGGGAAAAAAACATTTGCTAAGTACTTCATATTGAATCATTCAGTCCAAAAGTGATCAGATCCCCTCCCTAGTGTGTAGCAGTTGAGGGAAAAAACATTTGCTAAGTACTTCATATTGAATCATTCAGTCCAAAAGTGATCAGATCCCCTCCCTAGTGTGTAGCAGTTCAGGGAAAAAACATTTGCTAAGTACTTCATATTGAATCATTCAGTCCAAAAGTGATCAGATCCCCTCCCTAGTGTGTAGCAGTTCAGGGAAAAAACATTTGCTAAGTACTTCATATTGAATCATTCAGTCCAAAAGTGATCAGATCCCCTCCCTAGTGTGTAGCAGTTGAGGGAAAAAACATTTGCTAAGTACTTCATATTGAATCATTCAGTCCAAAAGTGATCAGATCCCCTCCCTAGTGTGTAGCAGTTGAGGGAAAAAACATTTGCTAAGTACTTCACATTGAATCATTCAGTCCAAAAGTGATCAGATCCCCTCCCTAGTGTGTAGCAGTTGAGGGAAAAAACATTTGCTAAGTACTTCATATTGAATCATTCAGTCCAAAAGTGATCAGATCCCCTCCCTAGTGTGTAGCAGTTCAGGGAAAAAACATTTGCTAAGTACTTCATATTGAATCATTCAGTCCAAAAGTGATCAGATCCCCTCCCTAGTGTGTAGCAGTTCAGGGAAAAAACATTTGCTAAGTACTTCATATTGAATCATTCAGTCCAAAAGTGATCAGATCCCCTCCCTAGTGTGTAGCAGTTCAGGGAAAAAACATTTGCTAAGTACTTCATATTGAATCATTCAGTCCAAAAGTGATCAGATCCCCTCCCTAGTGTGTAGCAGTTGAGGGAAAAAACATTTGCTAAGTACTTTCATATTGAATCATTCAGTCCAAAAGTGATCAGATCCCCTCCCTAGTGTGTAGCAGTTCAGGGAAAAAACATTTGCTAAGTACTTCACATTGAATCATTCAGTCCAAAAGTGATCAGATCCCCTCCCTAGTGTGTAGCAGTTGAGGGAAAAAACATTTGCTAAGTACTTCATATTGAATCATTCAGTCCAAAAGTGATCAGATCCCCTCCCTAGTGTGTAGCAGTTGAGGGAAAAAACATTTGCTAAGTACTTCATATTGAATCATTCAGTCCAAAAGTGATCAGATCCCCTCCCTAGTGTGTAGCAGTTGAGGGAAAAAACATTTGCTAAGTACTTCATATTGAATCATTCAGTCCAAAAGTGATCAGATCCCCTCCCTAGTGTGTAGCAGTTGAGGGAAAAAACATTTGCTAAGTACTTCACATTGAATCATTCAGTCCAAAAGTGATCAGATCCCCTCCCTAGTGTGTAGCAGTTGAGGGAAAAAACATTTGCTAAGTACTTCATATTGAATCATTCAGTCCAAAAGTGATCAGATCCCCTCCCTAGTGTGTAGCAGTTGAGGGAAAAAACATTTGCTAAGTACTTCATATTGAATCATTCAGTCCAAAAGTGATCAGATCCCCTCCCTAGTGTGTAGCAGTTGAGGGAAAAAACATTTGCTAAGTACTTCATATTGAATCATTCAGTCCAAAAGTGGTCAGATCCCCTCCCTAGTGTGTAGCAGTTGAGGGAAAAAACATTTGCTAAGTACTTCACATTGAATCATTCAGTCCAAAAGTGATCAGATCCCCTCCCTAGTGTGTAGCAGTTGAGGGAAAAAACATTTGCTAAGTACTTCATATTGAATCATTCAGTCCAAAAGTGATCAGATCCCCTCCCTAGTGTGTAGCAGTTGAGGGAAAAAAACATTTGCTAAGTACTTCATATTGAATCATTCAGTCCAAAAGTGGTCAGATCCCCTCCCTAGTGTGTAGCAGTTGAGGGAAAAAACATTTGCTAAGTACTTCATATTGAATCATTCAGTCCAAAAGTGATCAGATCCCCTCCCTAGTGTGTAGCAGTTGAGGGAAAAAACATTTGCTAAGTACTTCATATTGAATCATTCAGTCCAAAAGTGATCAGATCCCCTCCCTAGTGTGTAGCAGTTGAGGGAAAAAACATTTGCTAAGTACTTCATATTGAATCATTCAGTCCAAAAGTGATCAGATCCCCTCCCTAGTGTGTAGCAGTTGAGGGAAAAAACATTTGCTAAGTACTTCATATTGAATCATTCAGTCCAAAAGTGATCAGATCCCCTCCCTAGTGTGTAGCAGTTGAGGGCACCAGTTCTGTATTGGTTTCCTATTCTTCTTTGGCTTTCTGCGTAGTGCTCTTGTCTGGCCACACCCTTCTTAACCATATGGAAAAAAACAGGGGCTTTTAAAAAACTGATCTGTTTGACTTTAATTTTAACTTGGTAAATCATCTGTCTTTTATTTCTCTTTATTAATTTTAGTCATCAGAAAATAATATTTTCAACTTCATACTTGTTTATGTTGAATCAAGAATCAACATAATAACACACTGGGGCACACTTTACCATAATGGAACCCACAAGGGGAGGATGGTTGGAATTATAGTGACCACACTGCCAACTGAATACCAAATAAGCTTTAAATTTACTGTGCTAGCTGTTTTTTTTTTTTATGCCTTAGATTAGTTGTGTATCCTTTACAGGATGTTGTTGGTTTTTCTAGGCAAATTTACGTCCAGTGGTTTGCCATGGCTTTCTTGATACCACTGTCGAAACCAACGCAAGGCCCGCAGCTGGGATCGAACCCGGCATTACGAAGCGTTCGCATCAACTTAGCCACAAAGCCGACTTTTTAAATGCCTTTGAACAGTGAAAAATGACCCCCATTTTTTTTTTTGTTTTTTTTAAACTAGTCATGTAAATCCATTTTCCCATCCCTCCTGCACCATCAAAATGTCCAGAGCACTCCTCTTGTTTTCATGTATTTTTCTGAAAAAATGTTTCACCAATTTATGACAACTGTAAATTATATTTGACTGAATTTCCAACAGCAAATAATAATCATCTTCTGCCATGCACTTTACTAAACTGTGTCAATTAACAAATAAACATCACTGTTAACAATAACTGTACAATGAAACATAAGACAAACATCAAAGGCATTCTCAGAAAAGACAACAGATCATCTCATTTACCTATCAGTTTAGCAATGACAGTATGAAAAAGCCTACCCAACTAATTAATGTTAACAAAATGCACACAACAAGTTTCCTATCTTTCACCACATTACAGACCCACTATGAGAATATTCAAATGAGACTACATACAATCAAAGCAACTGGCTAATTTTTTGAAGAATGTGCAAACAAAAAGGCAAAGTGACGATAAAATGTATATATTTCCTCCAGTTTTTGTGTCAACTTAATGTAACATACATTGGGATTCTTTGTGTGTGTGGTACCTTTCAATAACTATCAATATGTGACCTTAAGTTATACTCTACCTACTTGTTGCCATGAATGATAGGAACGAAAGTCTTGGTTACCAACATCCTCTCATAATCCTGCAAGACTGCATTACTCCACAAGGACTTTATTTTCCCATCAGGAACTATCCGACCTGGACTTGATTAGGTCTCTATTAAGATTCTGATTTGCCCTCTACCAGGACTTTGATTTAACCTCTACCAGGACTTTGATTTACTCTCTACCAGGACTTATTTACCCTCTATCAGGACTTTGATCTGCCCTCTACCAGGACTTTGATTTACTCTCTACCAGGACTTTGATTTGCCCTCTACCAGGACTTTGATTTACCCTCTACCAGGACTTTGATTTACTCTCTACCAGGACTGCTTTACCCTAACAGCACCTTTGCTTTACCTATCAGGAATCAGCTTTACCCTATCAGGACTTTGATTTACTCCTGCAGAACTCAGGTAACCAGGCCTTTACAGTTTTCAGCAAGTAAAATTAAATATTCAGTTTGCGGTGGGGCAGATGTATAACTGTTGAGATCATTCTGTGTGATGCCGAAAACAGCAAAACCCTTTACAAAAGGAACACTTCAAGAATTCCTAATACTCTCCTAAAGAAAAAAATCAATAAATGAATACACAAATGTATGTTTTTCAAACCATGATCAAAGGGAAAACTGTATTCTTTAAGACCTTAGTTATTGACCGTGTATGAAGTGTCAGCTCATAAATATATTATGAAGTTATTTGCCTTCTAACACACTTACAGGAAAGAAGCTTGGAGGCATGGGCCCACCTGGCATGCCATCTTGTGGAGCCATCTGACCTAATGGACTTGGGGCTGCTGCATTCTGGAGAGGAAACAAAGTTGGGAATTGAATCACATTGTGTCACTGTGTGATGGTGGTGATGGTATGCATACATAACAAACAAGTAGGGGGCAATTTATCAGGATTAATTGAGATAAGTTAGTTGTGTATCCTTTACAGGACGTTGCAGACCACCCTAACGGCCCCTGGCTGTTGTGTGGTTTTTCTAGGCAAATTTACGCCTCGTAGTTTGCCATTGCTTTCTGGACGGTCGGCTTTCTTGATACCACTGTCGAAACCAACGCAAGGCACATGGCCCACAGCTAGGATCGAACCCGGCATCCCGGTATTACGAAGTGTTCGCATCGACTTAGCCGACTCATAAAGATAGATTAATAAAAATAATTCAAAACAATGTATTTGAAAAGAATTATAAAATAATGTGCATTATTATAATTCATTTGACAGTAAATTAAAAAAAAAAAAAAAATAACATGTAAAGGGCTGTTTTCCTCATCTTGAAGCATGGTGGGCATATGATAATAGAAAATGTCAAGGACGTTTGGTTCTTTACAGCTTTTTCATCCCCTTTCAACAGCTGTAAGATTTAGTAGGGAATTCCTTGGAAGTTCCTCAAAAGGTCCTATAATATGGTGTGTGTTAGGGTGAGATTTAGCTGGGTGTTCTTTTAACAGTAACGCTACAACACTAAAACTGCTATGTTCTAGGTATGTCACGTGTTGGTTGTTTTTTCCCCTATTGAGTCGTAATTTACAGTGTGTTATTTTCGTTCTTTCGGCCTATTCTTAAGACACCCCAAGATGGCCCTTTTCAGGACCGAAAAAAAATTTCCTCAATTCGCATCACACTGCCTAAGGTCTTCCCCAGAGAAACACCGATTCAAGGCGATCTCAACGGATCACTGAGTGAAATACAGAATACAGTGAAGCTCAAACTAGAGACAACATTGCAGGTTTTTATAATCCATTTCGGAAGAACGGAAGAAGAGGGAACTAACCCTACCCCCCCCCCCCCTTTTTTTTTTTACATTATAGGAATTTCTGGGGAACTCCCTGGGAATTCCCCATCAAATCTCGCAGCCAACGAAATAGTGCGATAAAGCTTAAAAGTGCCGGATTTTTTTTTTTTAGAACACCCGTAGTATACTGGCTATTACAATTAGGCATGTCAAACTGAGGTCCCCCCCCCCCCCCCCCCCCCCCCCCAAAAAAAGATTATATGGTGGACATTTATATTGTCTTGATAGGGCATGCGCGACAACTAACCGAAGTCACGTAATAAAATTAACTGCAGAAAGTTTTTATTGTGGGCCGCAGGTCTGTTTGCAAATGGCCATATTTGTGCTTCATGTTTGACATGCCAGCGGTATATGATGCTGGATATATAGTTTATAAGACCGATCTTCGCAATGTGGGTAATTGGCGGTCAACATATGCTTTTCGTGTACCCATTTCAGGCTTGGCTCACTCACCTTAGAGCCGAAGCCAATTTTGAAAACATCTACCTCAATGCGGATTCGAACCAAAGACTTTCAGGCCAGCAGGTGAGCATCTGGCCACTAGCGACTTGGGCATAAGGCATCAGCATAATAAAAAGCTTCGCTTCGAGGACGTTTTAAAACCCAGCCTTTCTGGTCAGACTGAAACGCATTAGCCACATCATTACTGTGGCTACTGAAAGAAAGAATGGAAATGTTCGTTTCTGTGTCTGTAGTCTTTGGTATATGTATATATGTATACAGGAAAGTGCATTTCGAACTGTATATGTTTGCATATGCTTAAAGATAATGCGTGATTCATTTTATATAAACCGACCAGACTTAGAACTGTTGCGCCTCATATCGTTACTGTTTTGAGAGAGAGAAGAGAGAGAGAGAGAGTCAAGACGAGACCGTTTAACTTTCGTTTCGTAGCAACACACTCCTACTTTTACAACTGCTCCAACAACAGGCTGTTCAGCTGACTCACCGCCCTCCCTCCGCACGGCGAGAGCCACAGAAAAGCGTGTACCACGACTACACACTTCGCAGCCTTCCATGACCCAGCCGACCTGAGGCTGAACCATTCGTGCAATGGGGGGCGCAGCAAACTGGCCGGCTAGTGGCATTTTAGGTGGCGTAAATGTTACGCCTTAAACTGTTTTCCCCTACAGATTTGAATCACCACTACTATACAGGAACTACTTTAACTTGAGCAATCTCTCAGCAACTAAGCCCTTATGAAATGTTAAACAATTAAGGATAATTATTAATTTCAAAATAACATAGACTGCTTTTAGTTCCATCGCTGTGTTCCCATCCAATTAACACGGTGCTCTTCACTTAAAATGTGAGGTAATATTTTATGCCCAGGTCAGTATAAGAAGATAAGTAAAGTAAAAGTAAAGATCCCTTTTCACGCCTTGGGCGTGGGAAGAGCACCCATATTTTTTATAGACCAATAAACACTAGGTGGGTAATGTGGTCAGCATTGCGCCGGCCGAGTATAAACAGATAAGAACCATTTTATTATTTATTTGACTGACTGACACACACACACAAACATTTTTTCCCCTGCTGGGATTTTTTTCATGCTGACCTCTCTAACTGGGCGATAGAACACCGACTAGCCAGAGAGAGCGATGACAGGGGACGTTTACGGCTCTTTTTGAACCAAAAACCCCTCACTTGTGTCCAGAAGGACACTTGGACAATAATTCCAGTGGTCTCTGGGTAAGATCAGGCGCCCGTGTGTATTGTTGCGCACGTAAAAAAAAATCACTTGGCCGTTGCAAATTTTAAAAAAAAGAGTCGCCTGAAGGATTCTCGCTGGTGTCACAGAGTTCGTGCACTACTCGCTGAGATTCTTCGGACTCGGGTTTGAGTTAGAAGTAGCATGGAGTACTTATGGGTAACTTTCCTTGTGCCATGACGTTCTTCCGTTGTTTAAACTAACCCTAAGGTTACCCTTATGACCATGGTTTATATATAACGATTCAACATCATGGCACAATGTCACGTGCTTTCTTCCCCTGACCTTTCACCCTAAGGTGGCTTCAACTGCTAGCTTCTCTTTCTCATTGTCTACGTGTCCTTCTGGACACAAGTGAGTGGTTGTCGGCTCAATAAGAGCCGTAAACGTCCGTCCCTCTCTCTCTCTCTCTCTCTCTCTCTCTCTCTCTCTCTCTCTCTCTCTATCTCTGTCTGTCTGTCTGTCTCTCTCTCTCTCTATCTCTCTCTGTCTGTCTCTCTCTCTCTCTCTCTCGAAATGCGGCTTTGGAGTTGAGGGTCCATCGCCCAGGTGGAACCGGATACAGCTCGAGCGACCTATGACCTATGATGTCCAAGGAATATAAATATTGTGGTATACATAGATTAAAGAAAGCTACTTATCCTTTACAAGACGTTGCAGCACTAACCCCAGCATTTTTGGGCTGTTGTGGTTTTTCTAAGAAAATTTTACGTTCGGTAGTTTGCCATTGCTCACTAAACGGTCAGCTCTCGGTACCACTGTCAAAACCAACGCAAGACAACTCGTCGGAAGCTGGGATCGAACCCGGCACCCCAGCGTTGTGAATCGCGTTCGCAACGCCTAAGCCACAGACGCCGACATACTTGTAATACATTGATTACCATTAGGGCTGTACCGAATAGTGATTTTCAATATTCGGCCGAATACGAATAGTGTAACATCATCATCAGGTTCCTTGCCGACTGGCGTAGGCGATTATCCCTCGCCACAATCTGCGATCTCCTGCAGCATGTATTAGTTCGTGTGCCGACACACCTCCATGCTATGCAATAAGTGTCAAGAATCTTCTTTCGATGTCTTCCTCTATCCCTCCTTCCACAGATCTTTCCAGTGGTCACAACATGTTCTATTTTCCCTCTTCTCATAACATGGCCAAAAAATGATGACTGTCTCCTTCTGATGTCTGTGATAAGTTTTCTTCGGGCTCCCGCCTCTTTCAAAACCTCTTGGTTGCTTTTTTTTTTTTTTTTTTTTTTTTGGCTGTTCAATGTATTTTAAGCATTCTTCCGTAAAACCACATCTCAAAGGCCTCAAGAAATTGTTTGGCCTGCCTACCGATTGTCCAGGACTCACAGCCATATGTTAAAACTGGATGTATGTAGCAAGCAAGAATTCTTTTTCTAACTCTCAATAACAAAGATATATTGCATAAGATGTTTTTCATTTTATAAAATGCAGTTATTGTCTGTCTCTGTTCTCTTTTCGACAGTGGCAAGAAAAGATAAATTAAATTTTAACTTGTAAGTATCTTCATGCCTTCTAATAGTGTCACAATTTATAGCCGACTTCACTTGATTTTCGCAGCGCCACCTATAGCATAAGCACCAAGTTTGAGAACCTCTGCTGTAATGCCTCAGTCGAGTCAGCGGGCAAAGACCTTGCCAGCTGCTGTACCACGCAACCGGGTCGCAGTTTCCCCCGCTACGACAGACTTAGGCAACAGTAACTATTGTGTTAATGAGAGAGTTATTTCAGTCAATCGCAGTGTATGCAGAAACGGGTGTACGGTAACCACTATTCGTATTCGGCCGAATACTTATTCGGTCCACTATTCGACCCCGATGCGAATACGAAGCGAATATTCGGTACAGCCCTAATTACCATCATCATAAAGATGAAGGAACGGCGTAGAGGGAGTCGGTCAAGGCTTTTCATTATGCGCTTCCTCTTGGTCTCATTCTTGGCATTCACCGGCTGTAAACTCCGGAGGAAAAGAAGTCTACGTTGCTGGTCCAATTCTGATCAATTTGATCATGTTCCAGAACTTACAATTTTGGGTTATATATTATAGGATCTTCCAGAGAACTCCTTAGGAATTCCTTATTAAATCTCGCAGCCCCCGAGATGGGGAGAAAAGGCTGAAAAGTACTGCGAATCCTGCTACATAGACCATATTTCGGAGATTTTCAGCTAAGCTTAACGGGGAGAGAAGGGGGGGGGGGGGGGGGGAGGGGAGGGGGGGGGCATGTGGAAAATTGGGATCTTTACGGACAGAGACTCAAGCCCTAGTAT